CTGTTGTCAGAGGACAGCTGTCAGTCATCCAGTGTTCAACTCTCAGTACTATAAACTCTCCCAGAGCACTGGAGCATGGTGCTGCTGATGCAAAGTGGCTCTCTATGGAAATACTTTGACTGACTCCAGCAGGGACTTGGATTACTCTGATGATGCAGTTTATCAATGAATCAATCAGTTTATCAGAGTTTTCATAAGATATTTTAAAAACATGATTTTGGTTTCACGCTTCCATGGACTTTTTTTTTGAAATATAATTTGTCTTAATTAAATTAATTGCCACTGAAATAACATGTACAAATATTTTAAAATTAATATATCAAACGCACACTGGAAATTAGTCTTGTTTTCACATTGCATATAGTGCTGACTAAATGTTACAATTGGAAACACATTTTGGTGAGTTTGTTTGTGTCAAAGTCAGAGAGCCGTGTCTCTCTACAGTGAGAGGTTTTTGTACGGCGGCTCAAAGAGTTTGTATCACTATGGTGGACTTTTGGTGGAGGAACCAGACTGGATGTTGGAGTTTCTGCTGAAATACTAAATGCAGCATTGTCAAATCATGCTTTAAATTCACGATTTGAACGTTTGAGGCACAAAACTTTTATTGTTCATGTTTTTATATCTCCTCCTTTACCATGGAGGCTAACTCAGAGAAGCTTGACTAAACTTTTCTTTACACATACCTGTCATACTGAAATTCAAACACCCTGAATTGGCGAAAAGATCAAACTTTAATCTAAAGGTAAAAATGTATGCCAAGATTAGTTTTGAAATTTCCACTGCCATAATAACTGTTGTTAGGATTTAATAAAATTAACTTTCTTCAGGTAAAATTGAACAGATAGAAGATAAAGATGGATACTTCCAAATGTTGCATATATTGTTAGAAATTTAGTTTGAAATAATTTAAAAACGTTGGTAACGATGAGTGAAATACATATGAAGAACATTTCCTTCTGGTCAGTTCATTTTCTGTATTTGTTTCCTCTAAATGTTTTAAATTAATGTATAGTTGAAATTATTGAAGAGAAATTTGATATTTTAAATCTGTAGTTTGATATGTTTCAGGTCATTCTGTATGATGATTCTCTCTTAGCTGATTTGCATGAGAGGCTTCTTAAAGGGAAGTGAAACAATGTGTGAGTGAGTGACTGGTGGAGCAGAAAAAACATCTGACAGAAACTCCTTAAAGGAGAAAATCAGCTCTCACACAGTAAAGGTGTCCTCTAAGCTGATTGGTGTCTCCTAGGTGATGTCCGTCCCACCCTGACGGTGCTGCCCCCCTCCAGTGAGGAGCTGCAGCAGGGAAGGCCACGCTCATGTGCCTGGCCAACAAGGGCTTCCCCTCAGACTGGAGTCTGGCCTGGAAGGTGGACTGCAGCAGCAGCAGCTGGGAGGAGAGCAGGAGCCCCGGGTGCTGGAGAAGGACGGCCGCTACAGCTGGAGCAGCACCCTGAGGCTCCCTGCAGACCAGTGGAGGAAGGTGGGCTCTGTGACCTGTGAGGCCACCCAGGGCTCCCAGGCTCTGGTCTCAGAGACACTGAGGAGAGACCAGTGTTCCCAGTCCTGACCTGACTCACTGGGACTCTGCTACTGGTTTTACTCTGCTCTCTGAACTCTGTAACTCTCTCTGTGTCTGTGTCTCTTTCTTTCCTTAAGTCACTCTCTAATCACATGTTTCATGGTTAAAGTTTGTTTACTGGATTTAATTTGGATTATTTCAACACAATAAAGACCAGTTCATTCAAATTTGTTGTTTTCATTTCTGTTATAGTGACTGTACTCTGTTACTCTGTCATCAGATCATATTAACAATATTCAACTTTAAGTAGTGAAGCTTCATTGATGTAATAATGCTCATGCTGTTAACACTGTAAGAAATAAAAAAGTTATTTCAAATTAAATAATACTTAGTATAGTTTTATTTTTTACCAACAAAGAAGCATTTTCCTTCATTTTATCAGTGCAGGATTATATCTGAGGTAATTTCTTGTTCTCCTTGAGTCTCACCTTACAGAGTCTCTGTTCAGCAGAGACACTGTAAAGTTTCTCTTTATAGCTGCATTAAGAGAACTTTCTAAATGCAGGTATAAACAAGGTGTGAATGAAAGAATGAAAGCGGGTGTTTTCATGAATTCATTTAAAATGTAGTGTGTACAAATCTACATTACTCAATACAGTTTCAAGGATTAAAAATTAAATATAAAGTACTTTCAACGTGAGATGGTTCTTATCTGAGATTTTCAAACCAAAGATTTTATGTCAGTGTTGCATATACCACACAGTGACACATTGGTCTATTCTGATGAAGCATGCAGGGTGAAACAGTAAACACAAATATCAAATTCCCATCACATACTCCTCCCTTGTGAGCATTCTTTGATCACTCAAGAATATACAGTATTACAAAAAGATCATCAGGTCATAGAAAGGTATCATGATGTTGTGACAAAGTGGGTTTGCTCACCACTTGTCCCATACAGGCCATGACTTTCTAGTTTATACATACATGTTTATGTTTTTTGGTAACTTGCCATAGCTTGTGTAAAAGTGCACCACTTACTATTCCGGGTTGTTTGTGTTTGTATTATGTTACAGGCGAGTGCAAAGCATATAATAAGTTAGAGTAAACACATAGTCATAAGTTAGTTTCAGTTCAATTTTATTAGGTTGCAAGTTTAAACTTGGTTTAATTGTTTTCCTGTGTTAATACTTACAATTGTTTGTTCCTTTGTTCAGTTCCACCACGCAGGATAATTGTTTGGGGAGGGGCCGGCCTAAGTATTTCCTGTTTTATAGGAATAGGGTGGTCATGGATGACATCACCGGCCAAACCAAGTAGAGGGTTTTCTTTCTTTATAGGAATGTTTTTCTTTTGGTTATTTTTGAGTATTATGAATAAATGTGAATAACCCTGACCTGTTTTTTAGGCAGAGGGAGCAGAGAGAACTGATAACGAAGTTCCAAATATTAAGAGATTTCTAGATATAGATGTTGTGGAGTAGATCAACCTGCATCAGAATGGGATGGGCTGAAGCAGTTGGGTGTGAATTGACCACCATATATAAACAGGGGGAAAAAAGGTGGTGAGGGTGTGCTGCTGTGAACATGTGCCTTGTGTTAGTGTTGCTAGAAGTTTGATGTGTTATTTTTCTTTTGTTATTTTGGATTGAATTATCTATGTACTGCCGACCACGGTCAATAAAATAATCACTTCAGTAAACATATGATGTTGGAGTCTACCTACCTACCACCTTCCTAGCCACTCTGGCCAGGCTACACCGCAGATGTAATCTACACCAGTTTAACCAAGACAACGAATCTGAGTCCTTCCTGTCATCACAGTTCTGCTGCTGCAACAATGGCATGTTCACTTGTTCATGGAGTGTGATCATTTGAATAGACACACATTTATCAATAGCTCTTACAGTCAAACCTCTGGCACATGGAATAATGCAACATCCACAGAGAGGTAACAGTGCTACAGCAATCATTAGGCCTGCTAGTATGGGCATCACTAAGGCTTTTTATTTAGCAAATACAGAATCAGACCAGTCAAACATATTAGTGTCCACTTCAGAGTTCTCTGCAAGTTCTTCTCGTAGCGAACGCATTCCTTCCAGCACTGGGGTCACCGAACCATCTGGAGCTGTATTGTTGGGCACAAACGTACAAGAGGAGTTATTAAAATTATCCAAGCATCCCAGCCTCTTTGGGTGCTTCTCTTGCCTCTAACACTGCTATGTGATGTCAATGCCTGTGTGTAGTTCACTGTGGTGTTCTGTTGTGGTGGCTTTTGTGCATCATGCTTGTGATCTAAGAACTGCAACAGAGGCACTGTTAATGCTATTGCAATGGCAGCAAACATCTGTGTTGTTCCTCGTAGGCCCACACATGTCTGGGTGTCTGACTGGGTCCCATGGATGTCTCCTTCCAGAGACAAACATGCTACTCACTCTTAATCAGCAGTGGTGAGACCAGGAGTTTTCCCACTAGCTCCCTTGTGTTGATGTTTGCTGTCTAACAGCCTGTGAGTCCGAGACAAAGGGTGCCTAAGCGTTCCCAATCCCTCCTTCACTCACAACACAAGGTCAGGGAAAACAGTGGTTCAGTTGCTGATTGTGCACGCTTGTTGATCTGTTACTGTTCTGGTGCAGGCACCTTCCTGCAGTGGCTGGTATGTATCCATGTAGCTCTTTCAGCCTCCACAACCACCACAAAACCTCCTGGCGGGAGACTGCATCGGCTTAGTTGCTGGAGAGGGAAAAGCCCGTGAAAGCTTTAAAGATTCATGATTGTCTGAAAATAAACGTCTATGCTGCCATAAACTACATCTCCCACAACGCATGTCGATTTGTGACCCGAGAAGTGACGGCATCCCGCCACTAGATTGCGATGTTTCCACACCCACTACATGGTTTTCCGACAAGTGGAGATGAGAAATGTATACAAACAATCCCTAAATATCCAAGACCAGAAAACTTTATGCAGAAGGAAGGCAAACTCATGAATGGTGGGAAAGTGAATACATGTTTGTGATTCAAGGAGAAAACCCGGTAGGCTAGGCCTATGTCTTTTGTGTTATGAGACAGTATCAGTGATGATGGATCAACGTTATTTAAGGCTCGTGCAGACAACAGACAGCGTCGGCCGATGGCCGTGCCGTTCACACTGCACAACTTGCCGTCTTGTGACGGGGGTCTTGAAGTCTTTGTGGCGTTCACACTACGTGACTGATCTGTGACAGGGGGTCACACACTACACGAGCTGACAACGACTCTGTCACCTGATGCTGGTTTCCAAACCACGTTTTGTCAAAAAAACACACGAAACGGGAAATGACGCGAACCTACAGACAAAACAGCTGTTGTTTGTTATTATAAAGACAGCAATTACAAAGACAAAGAATCTGGGTGAAAGAATGCATTAGGACACGCAGGTAGCAGGGATTGTCTGAGCTACAGAGAAAGCCGGAGGTGAGTAAAAAGTGTATTTATTTATTTATTTATTTATTTCAAGCAAAATAGTGTGACAACAGAAAAGATACACAATAATAATAACTTATACACTTATGCTTGAAATGGAGTGGGAAGAAGTAAAACTTATTAAACCCCACCCCAGTCTATCAAAGAATTTATACATACAAAAAATAGCTGCTTCCTTCATCAATAATCTCAAAGAAAAAATATTAATAATTAAAAAAAAATAATAATAATAACAATACCTCATTTAGAAACAGTGGATGCACAAGTCAAAACCACACATTCATACCATACATACTAATAATATACAAATATTTCCACAGGTAACAATGCTTATCAAATACCAACAATGGTAGACTGAATACCACAAGAGTACATAAATGACAACTAATCCAACAATCTACACAACATGAATACAATCAAACCTCATTGTCATTGTAATGTAACCAGACCTTTCGTTTGTAAAGACGTTTGAAATTGTGAATGCCTTGCCATGTGGTGAAAAGTAGCTGCCTTCTCTCATTGGCTGGATGTGGATGTCGAGTCGGCCGACTCCTCCAGATATTTGGCGTGCTAGATATCTGGCAGATGTCGGCGATATGGCAGAAATGTGTTGAGGAGGCGTTTTGATGCGTCTTTGAGTAGTTCACACCGATCAACCGCTGATTTACTCCCGATCACAGCCTGACGGTCGCCGAGCGGCAAATTGGGCTAAGAATTGTGTAGTGTGAACTAGGCTTAGGCTCCAGTAGCCTATACATCTGCATTTTCCAGGTAATCAAACTATCTCTCATTAGTTGGATGTATCCCCTCTGCAAGGCTGTGTGCAGCTGGACTATTTGTTTTATCAAATGCCACATCTGTCCCTCATGTTATTAGCAGCTTTCTGTACCTCTGGACTGTGAAAAAGTGAAAAGATTATGTTTGATGATATTTGTCTTTGTTATTTACTTGAAATGTTTGATCTTTGATTGATGAAGTAATGAGGGTTTTTAAATCTGATGAATTTAATTACTTATGTTATAATAACACAGAAATTTTCTTACTAAGGCTATATTTTTACATCTGATAAGTGTCCTTAACTTAAATACATAATGAAATAAAGAGACAATTATTTAACAATATGTTAAGGAGTAGTTACGTTTATGCAGTCTTACAGTTGCAACTGGCCCTTTGAGGGTGACCGTATTGCTTATGCGGCCCTCTGTGAAAATGAGTTTGACACCCCTGACCTAGTGTTATGGTTTCTGTGCAGCTGTTGATTCAGATCAGTTCCTCACCAGCTGCGAGAGGTTTTTGTACGATGTTGTATCACTGTGTGAACGGGAAGCTGTAATCCTGCTGACAGTAATAAACTCCTACATCTTCAGTCTGGACTCCTCTGATGGTCAAAGTGAAGTCAGTTCCAGACTGACTCCCACTGAAACGATCTGAAACTCCAGACTGACGGTTTGTAGCATCATAAATCAAGAGTTTAGGAGCTTCTCCAGGTTTCTGAAGGTACCAGTCTACCTCATTGCTAACACTTGAACTGGCTTTACATCTGAGAGAGACAGTCTGTCCTGGAACAACAGACTGAGATCCAGGAGACTGAGTCAGGATGATTTCTCCTGATGAATCTGGAAAACATGAAAAAGAGGAGAAGGGTTATTGAGACAAATCCAGTTTGGAGAAAGATGATCAACATCCAAACAGAAGAGTCTCATTTCTTTAACATGGAGAACAGATGGAAGAAGGTAAATGCTGCTTGTTTCAGTGTTTCTCCATCACAGCAGAACATCATTGTGGTGAACCTGGTTGCATCCTGAAGCAAAGTTTTCAGAAGAGAGTCTCACCCTGAACAAGGAGCCCCAGGGTGGCCAGCAGTAGAATCAGTGACATCATCATTGTGCTGCCGGCGTGTCAGTGGCTCTGAAAGGCCTGGACAGCCACTGATCAACACTGGCCTCTTAACGGCTGGGAGCACAGTGTGTGTGTGTGTGTGTGTGTATGTGTCCTCAGTGAAGTGTATCAGTCTCTGCAGTAGCTTCCAGCTGCAGCAGTCAGTTCAGTTTCTGTTCAGTCTGACTGAGGGAGGTTTTTGTACGACGCTTTTTCACTGTGTGAACACATCCTGACTGTTGATAAGATGATAACTCTGACAGTAGTAAACTGCTGCATCTTCAGTCTGGACTCCACTGATGGTCAGAGTGAAGTCAGAGTTTGATCCACTGCCTGTAAAACGATCTGGAATCCCTGATGCTCGAGTGCTAGCACGATAAATGAGCAGTTTAGGAGTTTCTCCATCTCTCTGTTGGTACCAGGCTAAAGCGTGGTCGCTGCCCCAAGCATAAACATTCTGACTGGTCCTACATCTGATGGAGACGGAGCCTCCCAGAGCAGAGCTCACTGCTCCAGGCTGAGTCACTGTGACCTGGCCTCTGGACTCTGAGGATACAGAGACAAAAACATAAAGCAGCGTCATGGTTTTGTGGGCTTCATTTCAGAGGGACGGATGTTCATAGAGGAGAGGAGTTTGATTCTCTGGACTTTACCTGTGAAGCAGCAGCAGAGGAGAGTCCAGATGAGGACGCAGATCAAAGTCATGTTTTTGATGAGGAGGATTTCTGTGGCTTCTGTTGTCATGAAGGACAGCTGTCAGTCATCCAGTGTTCAACTCTCAGGACTATAAACTCTCCCAGAGCACTGGAGCATGGTGCTGCTGATGCAAAGTGGCTCTCTATGGAAATGCTCTGACTGACTCCAGCAGGGACTTGGATTACTCTGATGATTCTGTCTAGCAATGGATCAATACTCACATTTTGTGTCTGATATTTAAAATGTGATGTGTTCACAGGGACATGTTGTTTTTTGTTTTTTGTTTATCAGTTTGTTTGAAAATGTCACGCTCTGCCGGTTGGCCATCCTTGGTGTTGCACTTTTGTGTTTAGTTAGTGTTATTTTGGTCTGTTGGGTTTTGGGGGTCTGTCTTGTCTTTCGTCTAGTGTTCGGTAACCCTTGTCATGTCTGTTACCCCAGTGATCCCTCTGCATGTCTGTCTCTGTTTTCCCCTGCGCTCTCTCTCTCTCTCTCTCTCTCTCTCTCTCTCTCTCTCTCCCTACCTGTGCCTCGTTAGCCTCATGTCTTTCACCTGTGTTGCTCCCGCCCTGCTCGTTAGTCCCTGTGTATATATACCTGGTGTATATCTGTCTTGTCTTTGCCTCGTCATTGTTCATGTTATCCCCCAGTCTGTTGTGTGTGTACTCTCTGCCTGCCTGTAACCAGCCTTGCTTGTCTTGTCTCCCTGTACTTTTGAATTTTGGATTTCTGTTATTCAGCCACTCACCTGTAAGTGAGCTCGCTTTTGGTTATATTAAAACCCTTCGTTGAACTATACCTGCTCCGCTCTGTGTCCTGCGTTTGGGTCCTCCAACCTGCCTCCACACCACGATCGTGACAGAAAAAGTAGTTCAGTAGTTAACATTGTCATTTGAATATTTCATTGTTGATTCTTAGGTACATGAAATGGACAAACATACCATCTTCATGTAGGAGGTTTTTGCTTGAGACAGGAAATATTTAAGACAGTTAAAACAATAAAAGCCTTACAGTCTTCACTATATGTGAAATATTTAATTAAAGAATAAAGAAAATACATAAGAGGAAAACTGTGCCTGTTACTACTTTTTATCTTTAGTCCTGAAAACCATCTGTTGTCATGGTTCAGCAGTGATGCCTATCGGTTGCCATGGTTACTGAGTTCAGAGAGGGAAATGAAACCAGTTTCATCCAATCTGAGGAAGATCGACACACTAGCAGCCTCCTCTCCTGAGTCGAGTCGTCCCAGAACACTGAGGAGAAGCTCTCTGTGTCTTAAAACAATAACAAAAAATTATAACATCGATTCCATTGTGTTCAATAACTGCTGAGATACGTTCTGGTGAAATTTCATTATTTGAGTAGACTACTTAAATTTCTTACGTTATATGACACAAGCTATCTATCAAAACACAATTATCATAGACTCAGAACTACAACAAAGGGTATTTTTTGTCATATTCCCATGTGTAGTGTTCAGTTGTAATCCAGTGCTGCTCTCTTGTGGAATTGTCATTGTACTACACATGATTTTCAAGTCACTTGAGGTATTTTTGTGTCTTTTTAATGCAAGCAACAAAAAGAGCATATTTATCGCACTGCAATGACAAATCAAGTTTGTAATGTGCAGCAACACGAAGGAGGTTAACCCTGGCTGCTAGCATAGCTGTAGGGTTAACCGGTCGACATGCACATAATCAATAACCTAAGTTTAGGCACACACTCTGTGATGGTTGTGGTAAGGGTAAGTGGCTTCGGGGAGCTGTCAAGAGTAACATAGCTAGCTAGCTAGCCAGCCAGCTAGCTGGCAGTATCAAAGTAGTCCTAGAAATGCAATTCCGGTCCTAAAATTGCGATCCTGAAACTGCAGCCTTCGGTTCTGCAGCTACATACTACTCCAAAAATGGTGAAAATAAGAGATTCTATTGGTGGGTTTGACCAATCATGGGTTTGCATTGACTGCTTCAACTCCGAGCAGCACTCAGTTGTCACGTGTACAGGCAAGATGGAGGTAAGTTGACGTTATGTTGCTCATTTTAATAGAAATTCTTTTAAATGTAGTATGGCATAATTTAATGATTTTTTATATTTACCATTGGCCAGGCCACTGAGTCTATCGCTGTCTTTTTTTAAAATGACATGTATAATAGTTAGCTAACGTTAGGCGTCTTAGCATGAAGCTTGACTGGTAGTGCATCAGACATGACTAGCTAGGTAAGGTTAGCTGCTCATGTTTAACGCATTGTACATGATATCTAGCAGAAATATTTTTCTGTGACTGTGGTAAATGGAGTTTATGGTCACACAGCATAAACTAGACTTTAGACCACTGATATTACATTGGAAATATAGACTGTTATCTAGATTTTTGAGGTGTTGCTGCCTTGTTATGTTTTCTCCTTTAGATGTGACATAGAAGCATTTATTATACTCATTTATTTTCCTCCCATAGTTGCACTCTAGATCATTGGTGACAGCTATGTGCAGCATGAGAGCCAGAGAGCTGCAGAGAGCTTAGGAAGCATCTTCACCCTGCCGGATGTCTCTTGGTCTGACTGGCTTCTCCCTTTCTTTTCCCCTCCCTGCGAAGAAGTGCAGCACTGGATGTCCTCATCATCCACTGTGGCGGCAGCTGCACGGGGAGGTCAGCATTGTGAAGCTGGTCAACATGATGGAGGACCTGCACCGGCTTTACCTCCAGCACCCTGGCATGAAGATCCTGTTTTCATTTGTGACCCAAAGTGTTGGTGGAAGGCTGGTGCCCATCAGTGAACAGTGTTATGGCTGTATTTGTTTGTAGCTTAAATGATGCCATGATTGAGAACCGTTGCATCTGACATGGCAGCCCTGGGCTATATTGAAAAATCTAATTCATTTCACAACTAGCATAATTATGTTTTTAAGTAAAGTAGGTAATTGCCTTAAAGGCCACCTCCAAATGCAGTGAACTGCTTTCAGTTGGCAGTTTCACAGCTTTTGAATTTGGCTTTTAGGACCCTTTTTTTGCTCCTAAACATAGCTGACCGTCATGGCTAATATTTTTATTTATGTTCAAAATGGTTATTAAAAAAGTAACACGCCCACCTTTATCCCCCTTTCTCCCTACCACTCTATGGACTCCTAAGTGCTCTGGACCTATGCCGGACATACAGTAGCTGTTACCACTTGCACGGGCCCAGTCTATTTATTTGAATAAATGTGTTTACTACATGTCCACATTTGTGAATATTTTAAAAATAACACATGGTTTACATTGCAATAAATTGTATTTATAAATTTCCACTCCTTTTGTCTTTTATACTGACTGGAAATGTTAAATTTCACATTCTGATATACTGTAATTCTAGTTCAAACACACAAGAACATGTGCACATCCAACAAACCTGTGGGCATAGTGCTGAATGAAAGGCTTAGAGTGAAAATTTAAGAATGACCTGCACACTGCGTAATTATGAATCCCCCTAGGCAGTATCATTTATTGCAATGTTTCAAACTCTGAGGTCTTCTCAGGCAAATACAAGGTATTGTAAATTATACAGTGAGGTTTAAAAACAACCAGCTGATCAATAGCTGCCTTCTATCAGCAATGGCGCCACCAAGGGGGGCCAGGGGGGGCCACGGCCACCCTAAGAAAATGGGTGGCCACCCCAGTGGCGCCCCCTGGCAAGGAGCATATGCATAAAATGCTATATACTGTTTATGTATATAACCCCTGGGTTTGAGTTAAAATGTGAATAGCAGCTTTCCTACAAGTGTTCTCATGTTAGGCTCTGTCACTTTAAGAGGGTAACCTCTGACCCTGAGGTGTGACTATGGCTGTGTCCGAAATCCCCACTCATTCACTACTCCCTACCCCCTATGTAGAGAGTTGTATGTAGAGCATTAAATAGTGAGCTCACTCGCATTGTTAAAACTCTTTCGTACCCCGATCGTTATTTCAGCGCCGTTAATTACGTCATTGCCGTCGGCCAATCAGTTTTTTCTATTAGCGGAATGCATGATGGTATATATGGCTTGGTTAGTGACCATCGGTTGTACACTACTTTTCAAAATGCATTCTGGGATACATTGAGTGGACTATATAGGGTATAATAACTCCACTATATAGTCCACCATAGTGAGTAGTGGGTGATTTCGGACACAGGGACAGGGATATATGTTTCTTATGATCACAGGATCTCTGGATCTCTGGAATGTTTCCAGAGATCTACTGGATCTCTACTTCTGACTCGCAAGGAAAACCTTTTGCAAAACTATTTAACTTGCAAAACTTTCTGACTCACAAGGAAAATATTTGTCTTCAAAGAGGACAT